TCCACCGAGGCCGCCAGGCTTGGCAGGCTGCCTGCAACCAATGGTGGTTGAGCTATTCGTTTATCGTGGGTATAGTGTGCATGGCAACGGGTCTGGCCGCCTGCTGGTATTATTCTCATCAAGATGGTGTGCGCCTTTAGGTCAGGCCGCCTGACGACTACTCTCTAAGCCGCCCAGGAATCAGGCCGCCCCGTACCTATCCAGTCGCACAGGACCAGTGCATGGACCGTGCTTCACTGGTATTCTGTTGTGGAAAGGTAGCGGGATGAGGCCGCCTGGCCTGAATCCCTCATGCTTATCCTTTATTGCAGGTTCAACTGCCAGGCGGGCTGGGTTTCAACCGAGCTCGGAGGCTAGCCGCCTGGTAAGTCATCCCTATAACATCATCTCTAATCAGTCTCGGTTTCTCTAACGTGTCCAGCCAGGTTGGTGGTACTCGTAATCTGATATCTGTCCCGTTTCGTTCCGTGGGTCAATAATGGGTCGAGCCGGCCTGATATCCAACTCAAACACTCGAGGTAGTTCCTCTTGTTTAACCTCCAGCACACAAGAAGCCGGCTGTCAACTGGCTCCCGGCGCCCAACAGTATGCATAGTATCCTGAGTCAGACCCCGTTAAGGACCCTTCTTAGTTACTATGTCGTGTTGTCCCGATGGCTTTTGGCCTTCAAAGGTCTAATGTACCATTCCGAGGAGAATTTACATTCTGATACTAAGCCTTAGTCTCTCTAAGACAGACGCTGTAGTATCAACACTTGCTCGTGCCTCGCCTGATATACAGTCTGTTAGTTACCGCGCCTGTTTACCGGCGTCCCATCTTATTAGGTAACGATCAGCAATGCACGACCAAACAAACCACTAATTCTACGCGTTTTGGCCGCCATTCAATACAAATCGTAGCCATAGATAGTTGTAGAGGAGCTTGAAAAGATATATGATCTCTCCGCTTTTTTCCCGCTTCTTTGTTACATCTCCAGGACATGTTTGCCTAATTGGGATGCAGAACCCCTGAGTTTCTTTAAAGTCCTGGGTCTTCGATTTGAATTGCTGGGAGAAACTCGTTTCAAGTTGAGGCGACTAACAGGAATCAGTTCACACTCGTTCAAGAGGGTGGAGAATTATTTACTAGTCTCAACGCGTCAAGTCGCGTCTAGTCGCGTCAAGGACACCTGGCACGTGCCTTCCCGAAAGGGATGCTTATATAATAACGCAGGACGCCTCATATCGTGGCGCGGTAACTAATAGACTAACTAAGCCTCGCTTATGAGAATGGTAAGTCAATGAAAAGAATGAAAAATAGCATTTTCATGCATGCTTTGTGCACACCTTATCACCACAAAACCTTATGCCAAGGGTGAGGGTGCGTCATTGATGGTCGCAGATTTTGTGTCTGCAAAGTACGGCTGGCTGCTTTCACCTGATGGTAAACGAAGCGCTCAGGTGGTGATGACGCCAGGTAAGAATAAAGACGGATACTCCTCAAACGTGGAAATTCGCGAGCAGGTGAGTTTGAATCTCGTAATTCTCTGGCCATCTGACCGCCTTACAGGCCAAAGTTGCAATGGATATTGTCACGGAATGCTATCCCGACAAGGAGCATGTGCTCGTTTACGACAATGCGACGACCCACCTGAAACGGCCTGAGGGATCCGTATCTGCCAGTAAAATGCTGAAAGGTCCTTTCACCAACTTTACTGTGGAGGTAATCCTGTGTGACGAGCATGGGGCCCAGGTTTACACCACCGCTAGTGCTCTTCAAAAACATCGGATCTGTATGGCTGACACCGAGTTTGACGGAAAGCCACAGGTGCTTTACTACCCAGAGGGCCATCTACAAGCTGGTCTCTTTAAAGGCATGCTTGTTCTTCTCGAGGAATGCGGCATTGACACGACTGGCAAACTAGCATACGGCAAAAAAATCCAATGCGCTCCACCCGCCTTGGACTGCTGCTGCCGACAAATTCTTTACAATCAACCCAACTTCGAGAATGTTAAATCAATGCTTGAGTGAGACTGCGAGGAACACGGGTTCCAAGTCCTCTTCCTCCCAAAATTCCATTGTGAGCTCAAATCTTATTGAGCAATGCTGGGGATATGTGAAATGACTTTATCGGCTCAATCTGGAGTCTTCCCGTGAGGATGCACTCGAGGCTAACACATTGGCCTGCTGTTCCTCTTGTATCAATGTGTCGATAAGTCCCATTCCACCATTCAATTTTCCCGAACTGAACTCAGCCAGGTTCGCAAATCGGTCTGCACGGTTCATGGATGCGTACATTGTTGGCTCAAACGGCCCATTGGCAGCTTGGGCAGCACAGAAATATCCTGGTCATAGAATGATTCCGGGTAGTCTTATGGATGATCTGGAGGAGGCTGGTTTGTCTTTTAGTACTTAGATTAAATGCGAAAGCTTCAGGAATTTGTGATCATTATGATTTGTAAGCTCTAATCCTTAACCAGAGGCTTCATCATGGATCCGCAAACAGCCGGCGAGTCTCATATTCAGGCGACGGGAACCATCTCATACCCTGTACAGATACACGTCCCCATACAGCTGGCTGCACTCAAAGCATACATTGCAATGGCAGACCAGCTTGACCGCGAGAGAAAAATGGCTCATGAAAACACACTCGATGAGCTTTATCAAGAAATCAGGGAGCTCAAATATAAGCTTTCGGTTGCGAAGGGAGACATCAAGGACTTGGAGGCAAAGGTCCCGGTGAAGGAATACCAGTTTTAGGACCTGCGGCAGTTGTTCTGGTGTGTCGGTGCCCACCTTACTGCCCGGTAGAACAAGGAACCCACAGGCACTGTCAATGAGCAATTAGCTGAAGTGACACACTTTATAGTGTCGATAGGAGGTATCCTCGAGGACGGTGCACAAAAAGTCATTGAGAACGCCCGCCAACGCATCCGAGAGGCTGAGGGAGATGCTTAGATCTACCTCAAATTCTTATCTAGTCAATCAATTCTAGTTCTTTGATCCTGGTGTTTTTTAATAGTGTACATGTAATGTACAACTACAGCTTGTTCAGCACCGATTTGCCACAAAGAATGTTAGTCCCGCCGTATGCTTTTACTTTTCCAATACACGATCATTTGTCCCGATTCGGACATATGTGACGGGATGTGACAGAGATTGTCCGTATTTGCTTGACACCTACCTTATGAATGGGGAGAGATCCGACATGGAGGACATCTTGCTGTCAGTGTCTAGCTCAGGCAAGTGTGCGGCCAAGTTGGTGCTTGCAGCCGGAGTCAGGGCCTGAGGTGTAGAATTCACCGGTGCGGCAGGGGTGGAGACGGGAACGGAGGTGGCAACTGCGAGGACACAAATGCAGCGCTGGTGCGCTGTGCACGAACGTTGCACTTGGCCTCCTTATTGGATGGTGCTTGGGCACCGGTCGTCGCCACGAAGTAGTCGTGTCACACATTCTTCTGTTGGTTGGATGCGGGTCACTCCTTCAGAGTGGTGCTCGCGGGGAACATGCAACAGCAGGAACATTTTTCGGTAATCTGTAAGTCATCGAGACAAGCAATGAGGGTGTCAACAGTATCCATAAAGTTGCGATAAGGATCTGAAAACACACCTCAGGTCCATCAATGAGCATGGGATCATCCTGCTCACATTAGTGATGTGGCTCTAATATGAACCTACGTAAACAATTTATTTACACAAAGCGTGCACATATTCTTTGACACCTAATTTACTCAGGAGGGGCAAGAATATATCCAGATCAACATCTCTGGGGGATCAGACCAAGAAGATTCTGCTATAATAAGTGAATTTTCAGTTATTTTTGGGAATGATGAGTATAACTTTTCAAAGTTTGCAACAATTGCCCTTTGAGGGATTGAATCTTGGTATCTCCAGTGGCTGAAGAATTACTAGAAACAACTCTGAAAATTGATTTTTGAACATTACAACTTATAAGCAGCATTTAGGCAAGCTTTTTGTTTTGAGGCCCTGTTACATGTTAGAGCCGATTCCATACACACACATAATACACCAGTGTTTGCTTTCCCACCTGGGACCCAGGTCGGAGATGGGGATGTCTGATGCAGATGTGATTCAACATCAAATCTGTGTGATCTGGCCCACCGGCTTTTCAACGTCACTCCAATGTCGAAATGTGGCCCCATGAAGTAATATTAAAAGAATCGGCAGCAATAAGATTTAAACTCCTGACCAAAGGCGAGCTGAATGAGATCTTGTTCTGTGAGAACACAACCAGTTTATCAAAATGAAAGAGTTTCATTTAGCCTGATGTATACAGCGGGATCCAGGTTTAACTTTGTCTTACATATTGTTGTAACCCTCTGTACTGCCAGGAAATGGAGAGCGGACTGTTCAGGTAAGAATGCAACCATGCAAATATGTGAGGATAAAAAATACAACCAATTCATGACAAAGGGACAGATAAAAGCAATTTTGTTGCAAGACAGCTTCAGACTCGAGGAAAAACCACATGTATGGGCCACCAGACTTGGGGACCTTGATCCCTGGTGTCTTTCAGTGCCGGTCAACATGAGGCGTCCTACATTGGTTGGATACCGGATTTGACAAACTTCTGATGTTGATCTCATGTCAAGATCACCTACTTGATCCCACCTCATTTTGACATTGTTTCAGTCACAAAACAGAGGTCTGGCCTCCTACATAATCTTGGCTATAGATCCAGGTCAAACAAATACTGGTGATTTAGTATGCAAATTTCACCCTAGCTGGATTATGTCAAATCAACCTCAATCCCCAAGCAGTGGTGTAGATATATGCACACAGGGTTGAAAGTCTAATAAGATGTACATTTCTACTATACCCTTGGGTACTCAGAAATTCTTTTGCATCACACACTTCATAAACAGAATGACGGAAATAAGATAGCTTGACCTGGGCCACATTTACTGCTGGTCTTATTTCAAGGGATTTGTGGTTTCATATATTCAAGGTATCACTGTAATCATGCCTAGAGCCCAACATAGGAGACTGCCATCCTTGATGCCCCTGTTGCTTAGTTGTATGAGCTCCTCGTCTACATATGGTAGTTGGAATCGTGTCGAGGCAGGTGTGGGTTCAACTCCCACCAGGGGCATTTTTTTCACATTACCAAATCTACAATTCTGGAAGTTAGATCCTGAAAATACTACAGCTCTCTCAAGTTCCTCAAGGTCAAAGCCACTAAGTGTTATAATATATTTGCTTGTAAACCTACCCTCCAGTTTATGTACACATAGACTTATATACACTAACAAATTAGTAACAATCAAGTACCCACATCAGAATCCTACCATCTTCAATGACCCCAAGCCCACCAGCGTGGTGGAGCACCTCTATGATGACCTCAATGCAGTATCCTCATGCAAATGCAGACCTTGCACATCGGGCTTGATGCCTACCTTCACTGCCTCCACCTTGCCCTGTCTTCCAGCTGCAATCTCTGCTCTATCCCCGAAACTGTCCCCCATTTGTTGCTCTCCTGCCTGCATTACTGCCACCAGCACCTCACCCTCACCCTCACCCTCTATCAGGGTACCCCCTGCCTTTCTCTTCACCTCCTCCTCTCTGCCAAGTCAGATATCCAGCCCATCCTTTGCTGAATTGAAGAGTAAGGTAGATGCATCTATTGGCACTCAACATATGATCGCTATCACAATTGCCAAAAATGGGCAATGTAAGACACATTTGAGAATAAAGGATTGTTGCAAGGTTTTGTTCCTCCATACACTGAACATTTCGAGTTTTCAGAGAAGAAATTGGTCTAAAGTAGTTTGAGTTTGCACAACTTGTGTATCACCAATGCTGTTTGAGCATGTAAGTCTATTGGAACATATGTCACTGGTTGAACATTTCAAATTTTTCGGTGACAAAATTGGTGAAAAGTAGTTTGAATGGGACTGTCAATTGGGATTTGGGGTATACAACACATGGTGCATTCACAATTTGCCATTTCTGTGTGGTTGATGGACTGATTCCATACCCGACAGTGTGAAGGCTGCTCTGTCCGTGTATGTGTACCATTTTACCTGGAAGAAAATAGCTTGATTTCATTGCATGAGTACTATGCAAAGGAATGTCACTGGACAAATTGTAGGAAAGATGAATCCTAGTTTTGTACATAAGGTTTTCACTACAATATGTACTTCCTGCAAGACAACTGTCTCCTGCTCTATACCAAGAGCCTATGTGTCTGTAGTGCAACACACTCCCCCTCTTGGATCCATAGAGCATGTATGGAAGTCAAACCCTGCCAAAAATGACCCCACTCGCACCAAGAGGTGAGTGAGATCTGGATTTTGGCATTCATCAATGCCATGCGAGCGAGTGATTTGTAAGCTCTGATCAGTTTGCGGCTGTTTGGCATCCATCCTAGGGCAGAAATTCCAACGCTCAACGCAAATGACTGAGTTGTACAGAGTATACTCTATGCAGCACGCACAGTACTGGTGAGATTCACGGAGGAATTTGTAAATACATCTGACTCGGAAATTCTGCTTGATATATGTCACTGGGACTGTGACTGCCATCTAACGGGATGATCCTGGGGTGCACCCCATCTAAGCCCGGACAGGGTTGAAATTATGAGGACATGACTATGACGGTGAGTGTCTGCAGAGGATATTGGATAACACTTTTGTCCTCAGCGACGGCTGGATCGATAGTCCCATGGTGAGATCTAACCCGGCATCCCCCCCTTTCAAGAAATGGTTGATTTTTGTTGTTGACGTGTGACACCGACGTGTGACACGTCCCAGAATGGGTCGTCCATCATGTGCAGGATCAATGTGCCATAACGTTTGCAGGATGTGGAACGAAAGGAGAGCGATGAACTAGACAAAAGTAGGCGGCTGTAGGCGGAGGTGTTGGGCTGGATGACAGAAGGACACGTTGATGTTGGATGTGCCGTAGTGATCGCCGATGTTTGCCCTAGCCAGACAATTTCCTTATTTAGGGGAGGGGTGGTCGTGGGAACATTTGCCAAGATCTAGATCTCACTCACCTCTTGACTTGCACCCTTTGCCATCACCTGGAAGTCATTTTGAAATATCATGTGCCATAAATCAGGCATTTTTAGTCACATCGTGGGACCCACCACACATAGATTTTAGGCAATTATGTACATGATTGAACTATAAGGATGTGGGAAGGAGTGCTTGTTGAATTAAAGAGACCTGGGCTCAGTGGATCAGGCAAGGAATCAACAACCTTTCACTGGATGAACATTTTGGATTTGACTGAAAGAATTGGTGAAAACTGTTTTACACCAATTTTTCAGTGCAAAATGCATGAAAAACTGAAGACCCCTTGGTGAAATTTTTGATTTTGAGTCAAGAAATGCTGAAAATCTCGAAATAGCACAAAATATGTACCGAAAAGTTTCAAGTTTTTCACTTATTTTTCCAGTCAAAATAGTGTAAAACTCTTTCAGTCAAAAATCTGAAATGTTCAACCAGTGTTTTTGTAGGGCGTGTTTCGTAGCCGTCCACCCACAAATATTTATAGTTGGGTAGGAGCTGAGTGAGCCGTCTGGCAAACGATAGAGGCAAGGAATTCATCTGAATGGTGTGATCCTACGCCAGAGACAGTGCGTGTACAACACAGATCTGTTGTTGTTCCGTCTCTGTACCCCAGAGAAATCTGCTTAGGGGCGTAGGAATCTCCTATAGCTAAAGTTCAGTAACGTTGGACTGAAACTGACCTATCCAGTGACAACACTAAGGCTTGTAGGCTGTTAAGAGAGCCAGGTAGCAACTTAGAGTTGAAGCGGGATGAGTAGTAAGAGTACTTTATTTGGACACCGGTCCGGTCTCTATATACTATAGGTATGTAATACAAAATGACTAATTGTAAGCGCGTGCTAAAGTGAGAGATAGAGATTCAAAGGTAAAAAGGTAAAACATGTTACAACTGCCGGTTGGGCGGCAGTGCGCCATAGGCGTATATATGGGCCATTACAGTGAGAGAGAGAGTTCCGCGCGTAGGGTATTCAACCAGTACACCTGTTGCTCGCTGCTTGTGCTCGGAGAGTCTCCATGAGTCAAGCAGAAGCTAGGTGCGATTGGTTTGAAGTAAAGTGTAGTAGTTCTCATGTGCAGCTGCACGCTGACTAATCTATGATACAAAAATGGAAGTAGCTAGAGATTCGTGTATTTAGCGGAAAAAATATAGGGAAGTGCATATTTATTGAAGAACCCTCACAGAGCCCCCCTAATGTCTAGCTGCTTTCGTTTCTCGGGTCGAATCTTTCCGGGATCGTAATTTCTGACAAACACCTGTAGTTCCATCGTAGAGGAAATGCTCGCTCAATCATTGCTGTTCCTTCATTGTAATCTTCCTCGGTAGGCCTTGCAGCCGGGGGAAAACTTCCACGTCCGGAGTTGATAAGGTACAAGATCCATTCTGATTGCTTACGCCATATGTAGCGCCGTTTTTTGACAATGCTCTTGGCAAGGTTATTGAGCATCGCCCAGAATCCTGGCGTCCAAACTCCATGGGCGTGCAGGCAAAATTCGTCAACCAGATCAGGATGCGGCCACAAAGTGCGCTCTGTCCCTGCGTCGCCTGTCACGACGTGGCCCAAGAGCAATGATATCTCACTCTCAGTGACTTGGTCGCTCGTTAGGAATGTGTCGTCCGTGGTCCGCGTCATAGCTCCCTTCTGGAATGAAAGCACCTGAGCTGAAGGTCCTTGCAAGAAGCGATAGATAAGCTCCTCATCATATAGTTGCGCTATGAAACTGAGGATCCCTCCCTTGTAGATGAAGGCAATGGCGTGAGGTCGCTTGAGCAGTGAATTCAGTATGGCTTTGTATCGAAAATAGGCACTAGCTCCACCGGCTCCGTATTGTAGAGGGGCGTCGACGTAGCCAGGTTCGTAGAAAGCGTACAAAGTAGCCAGGTCCAAGCTACTGAGTTCACTCTCAGCGAGTTCTTGCACGTCACAAATGTCGATCTGCAACGAGAACGGTGCCCCGCTGAGAATTGAGAATGGTGATTTCCAGGATATCCGTGATATTGTTTATTCCTCGCGCACAAGCCGCCCACACTTTCATGCGAACCAGAGTGCAGTCTTCTGAACACACCAGAACGGCCTTGCTGAGCCAATCACGATTCCATGTCCAAACGGGGCCTTTGCGAATACGTGTGGCTTCAAGTTTGACGACGGGCCCGGACCAAAAGCGAATTGCCTCCACTGCTTCGTTGCGCGTTCGAAAGCTGCCTCTGAATATCGGGTCGCGTGCAGGGGACTCTCTGGCTGGGACAGCTTCAAAAGAGGACGGCACTGCTCCTTCCGTATAGAAGTTGCGGCGTCTTTGTTGCTCTCTTTCAAAGTCGGATTCCTCCTGAACGTTCTGTCTCCAGGGTGACGCTGCGCCGCCTCCGCTCGGTTTCTCGGCGACGTTCATTATCGCGCGGACTCAGCAAACGAGAAGAGCGACGACGTGATCCGGAGTCAGCTATGCTTTGAGCCCATTCAGACAACAATCCTTGCTGCTCGGGGATGTCCGATCGGTGAGTCGGTGACATAGGTGATCGCGCACGACGCAGGTCGACCCCTCCTATCCGATCTCGTAGCGATAAGACTTCTCCTTGGTCAGCGTTTCCCGAGTCCGACCGCAACGGAGTTGAGCGACTCGGCCCTTCCTGAGGAGCAGGCTGAGGCCACGGAGATGAACTTGAGTTGGGTCCGCTCAGCATCCCGTTGTAAGTGTTATAGAGTCGATCCGGCCGAGGGGCGTATCGGTTTTTCACCCACTCACGGACCTGGAAGATGCTTTCCTTGAATATTTCCTCTTCCGAGACTCCAACGGCGTTCTCATCTCCGAACCATTCGATCGGAAACTGGTGCTCCTCCGTGTAGATCGCTTCGTCTCCAGGTTCCCGAAGATGAATTGGGTTTTGTCTCAAGAAGGTGCAAACGTAACCACCCGGTTGAGTTCATTTGACAGTCGCTTTGAACCTCTCGGCGCATGCCCGTCTCTCCTCGCGGCTGTCGATGGGTCGCACTCCGTAGTGCAGGAAGTCCACCAGCCGATATTCCCATTCGGGACGAAATTGAGTCAACACTTCTCCCATTCGGCCCGGGTATTTTAA